TAAGAACAACGATGACACAGAGCATGGACAAGTCACAACCAAGGGTCAAGACCCCCACATCCACCGCAAACCAAACCCAGGGCACCACCTTGGACAGCGCAGCCACCCTCTGGGCCAGCTCCGCCTCCACCTCGGGGAGGGTCTCGGCCTTCCGCAGAGTCTGCTGCAGCTTTTGCTCGGCCAGCTCCAGGCGCTCTTGTAACTGCCGGTTCTTATCCTCGGTCTGCGAAGGGAAAGCAAGGCATCACGCTGCAGCAAATCTCCCAGCTCTTTACGCGTTTCACAAGTGGGAGCCGAGCTTCAATGCAGACATGCACCAAATCAGCTACGATGGAAGCATTCCTGTTCTGGTAGCTGCTTTAGGGTAAACCTTTTCTGTCTGCTAGTACAGACCAACCTTCTTGGGCTTAACTGCATGTGCAAAAACACCTTTCCCCAAAGTGTTTGCTTCTCCTAAATATCTTAACAGAAGCTTCTTTTTATAAATAAAGGTTCCTATGTACTATGAAAATCTAGTTTTCCGCTGAGGCTTACTCATTCTTACAGGCAAGTTAGGGTAAGAAGGGGGCAGGGCTGACCCTTCTTTAAAAGTCCTCAGACATGCTGTCTGAGGATGACACTGCTTGCAGCAGTCGGCCACGTGCATTTAGGGCAACATACTGCTCTCGCTCATCTCCTCTCAAATTTAGATCTTTCTAGAGCATGCCTAGTGAAACGCTGGTCAAGACATTTCAAAACATATACTACTCTTTTTAAAAATCCTCTTATTCTAAACAAATATTTCAAGGTAGAAAATATCAAAAACAGACTTAAAAGAAAATTGGAAAAACCACCTCTAACGTCAGGTTCCTGAGACGTTAACATTTAACTATATATAGCTTTTCTCTTTCTTCTGTATATATGATTTCTATATATGCGTATATACGATATATTATGCTTAAAACTCTCAAAACAGTACATCACAGCAGTCCCCGACTCAGGACATACTCGAGTTACGATGACCCACACACACGGACGACTGCCCCGTGTTCGTGTTCACCTCTTGTTGTTAGTAACATGTGCTACACACGATGCTGCACTGCATGATTTGATGATGTTATCGATTTCAGACGTGATGTTTCCAACCCCGAAAGACACATAAAGATCGAATTCATAAAGATACTCAGAACAAAAGGCAATAATAATGGAAGCTTAAAAACAAAGTATTCGACTTACATCAAAAGCAACTTATGACCGAGTAGTCATTGGAACAAAACCACGTCGTAAATCGGGGACCCCCTCTCTTTTGTAATCTGCGTTTTAAAGTCATCATCAGTGTGACCATCTTACATGTTATCAAACACGACACAGTGCCATTCTGAATGGCCGCCTAATAGTTTCTCTGGGCTCAGACGGTGCCCTCTGTGAAACACCCAGCTGGCTGTATCTTCAGGAAGCCTGACGGAGCTTCTCAGCGGACTCCTCCCCTCTAGGGGCTGGGGTGGCTGACCCGGCGCAGGAGGCACATGTTCCTATGACAGGCTTCACCTCTGCATCTGCCACTCACCACTCTGTCCCCAGGTACCAAGAAGTAGCCAAGCTGCCCTGAGCTTCTCTGCCACTCTCAGCTCCTACCCACCCTTTGGAACAAATGCTAACAGGAGGCTGATTAACTTCAATTAAAACAGAACAACGAGAAGGAAAAGAATCCAGGAGTGCAGCTCCATCAAACCTGAGACCGTGAGTCGACTGTGACTCACAGTGACCCTGTGACAGAGTAGAACTGCCCCACAGGGTTTCCTAGGTTGGAATCTTTACAGGAGCACACAGCGACATCTTTCTCCCATGGAGCAGCTGGTGGGTTCGAACCACTGACGTTTCAGTTAGCAGTCGAGTGCTCAACCATCATGCCACCAAGGCTCACTGCAGCTCCATCCAAAAAAAACAAACCCACTGCCCTCGAGTCGATTCCAACTCATAGTAACCCTGCAGGACACAGCAGAACTGCCC